ACTGCTGCCAAGGGAAAGGCCTGGCTTTCCTCCTCTCCCCTGACAGCATGGTCCCAACACCACGTCCTTTTGCTAATGGCAATTGCTGGGTGAGGTATGCAGCTCAGAGGGGGCTGTTACTGCTGGAGTGGCTCTAGCCACCTGCAGCATCATGGCATCTCTACCATCAGACCACACCCTCAATTGCCTGTACAGCTCTACAGCATTCCCAGGAAGGGCTCCATACACTAAACTCCAGACAGAATCATCCCTCCCTCCCCACTGTTCCTAACAGTGCCTTTGCCTGCTTTCTTGTTAGCACCAGAGCTGCTGTGGCCATGAGATGAGCAAGCTCAGCCCTCCAGGCAGTGGCACAACTGCCAAGCCTGGAGAAGAGAGTAAAGGGTAGAAGGTTGCACCCAGGAGTTTCTTGCTTACCAGTTGAACTGAGCACTATTCATCAGCCTCCTTGGAGAACTGTACATTAGGCTTAATCCAGTGAAACCCATAACTTCAAGGAGAGCACTGCATTGCTAAAGGATTCATATTCTACCAATAACAGTGGAAGACCCATATAGCATGATGAGGAAAAACACCCAGCACTACTCAGTGAAGGTCATCACCGCTTCTATTGTACAGCAGAAATAAAAACACAAGCTGCAGCTCTGCACAGTTACGTGCTCTTCAAAGAGCTCTTCCCCCACATCTCATTCAGAGCCTGTCCCACCCTGCTACAGTAATTTGTAACTATGGGCTTCTGGCCGAGTTTCCTTCTCAGTCATGTAATTTCCTTTTCTTTTGTGGGCCATTTTCAGATTTTCAAAGAGAAAAGTTTGTGTTCTGCTTCACTATCCAATAACCTATGAATGTGGAAATGTACCTGATTTTGGTGTGCCTTACTAACAGAATTTTTAATGCTAAAAGTTGTTTATCAGCTAGCGACACACTGACTGAGAGCATCAGCACTGTGGTCCCACAAATTTGAATCTTTTCTGTGTGCTAAAGAAATGTGGCCTGGGTAATAGCAGTAGGATTTTCTTTCTGCTGGCAACTGAGTGACCTTTCCTGGAGGAAGATGAAGTTTGGCCCCAAGGAACTAGTTTCTCAGAGCTTGGGAAGCAGTTGCCTCTTGGTGTTGATGTGTAAGAGGCAGTTGCCTCTTACATATGATGTTGACAATCTTAAATGAGAGAATACTCAGTGATGTCAAGGCTGCTGTGTGCTACATCTTGCAGAAGAACCTGAACACTTTCCTACCTTTCCTTAGGCACCCTGTTGAAGACAGCCAGGCATTCCCCACCACACACCTCCACCACAGGTCCTGACTTCCACCGGCTTTGCAGTGTTGTGCCTGAGACACCGAGCGTTTTTAGGTAAGCTCATTCCACAAAATACATCCAGACTCTTCTGGTGCAGGGATCAGATTTAGCAGCTGACAGATGTACCTGCCAGGTCTGAAGACCATTTAACAGAAGTTTGATTCAGTTTTACCCACTTTTGCAAGCATTATTTTTTATACCATTGGCTAAAAGTTCAGTGTCAGTAGAAGGAACTTTTTGCCTCTGCAGGAGAATATCCAGCATTTCATGGAGGAATGGATTTGACAGTATAATACTGTAAAGTCAACACCTAATTAGACAGTCATTTTGTCAACACCTAATCAGACAGTCATTCTGAACTGATGTTGCCATTTGTAAAGTTTTATTCTGAGAGCCTGTCAGACAGAGGAGAATTGCTGTGGGTGGCGGAGTGGGGGCTGAATGTACTTATTAAAAAAAAAAAAAAAATTAATCCTACATCTTCTTAATAAGTAAGGAGGCAGCTTGTTGAAGAAGGAAAGACTTTTCAAGCCCCAAAGGTAACATTTTCGCAGAGAGAGTACAAATTTGCACTGTCTTCCTTCCAGAATTTGTTTCTACATAGAAAAGATACAAAATCTTCTTCATGGGGATTTTATCTCCTGATGGGATGGGCTGACCTTGGCTGGACACTAGGTGTCCACAAGAGCGGTTCTATCACTCCCCTCCTCAACCACACAGTGGAAAGAAAATACAAGGACTAAAAGCTCATGGGATGAAATAAGACAAGGCAAGATGACTCACCAATTACCATCATGGGCAAAACTGACCCAAGTTGGGAAAATGAGCTTATTACCAATCAAATCAGAGAAGGATAATAGGAAATAAAAAAACTAAATATTAAAACACCTTCCCCCACCCCTCCCTTCTTCTGGGCTGAATTTTACTCCTGAGTTCTCTAACTTCTCCCCTCCAGCAGTGCAAGGGGACAGGGAATGGGGGTTGCAGTCAGTTCATCACACATCTTCTCTTCTGCTCCTTTCTTCTGAGGAGGAGTACTCCTCTGCAGGGAGTTCCCCTGCTCCTGTGTGGGGTCCCTCCCACAGTTCTTCACAAACTGCTCTTGTGCAGGTCTCCTGCAGGGTCTCAAGTCCTGCCAGCACACTTGCTCCAGTGTGGGTTCTTCTCTCCACAGGTCCATAGGTTTTGCCAGGAGCCTGTTTCCAGCATGGGCTTCCCAAAGAGTCACAGCCTGATTTGAGCATCCACTCGCTCTGGTGTGGGGTCCTTTAGAGGGCAGAAGTAGATATCTGCTACACCATGGACCACCACGGGCTGAAGGGACACACCTTTGCCTCACCATGGTGCTCTCCACAGGCTGCCAAGGAATCTCTGCTCTGGCACCTGGAGCACCTCCTCCCCTCCTTCTTCAACTGACCATGGTGTCTGGAGAGCTGTTTCTCTCATGTACTCTCACTTCTCTCTCTGGCTGCAATTGCTGTTGCAGTTTTTCCTTCCCTTTTTAAATGTGTTATCACAGTGGTGCTTCCACAGTCACTGATGGGCTCGGCCTTGGCCAGCAGTGAGTCCAGCTTGGAGCTGGCTGGAGTTGGCTCTGTCAGACATAGGGGAAGTTTCTAGCAGAAACAGAAACTTTCTGCCAGAGAAAGTCACAGAAGACTACCCACACCTTGCCACACAAACCCAACACACCTGACTATTAAACATATAAAAGCGACTGGCACACATTAAAACAAGGCAACTCCCTCTCAATAAATTAGCATGCCTGTGTTTACAGGAAGACATAATAGCTGCTATTTATATTGCATTTACATACTTAATTTTCTTTACAAATAAAAGCTTTATGCCTCCCTTTGAGCCTCTCCTTGCAGCCTTTGCTTACAATAGCTACAACTAAACTATTACTCCAAATTAGCCTGGCATTCAGTGTGCATTTGTATTACTCACTTGATTTTTATTGCTTCTTTTAGTTATTATTTTTCCTCTTGGTTCATTCATCAATCATATTTACAAACCCATTGTTGCACTTACTGCCAGCTGAGTGTTCTCACACATTTCAGCGCACAGAGAGAAACTGCAAACTAGGGCAGCTCTATTAGGATCTCTAATATTTCTGAGGAGTCTGAAGGTGCTGACAGCTTATGGTCTTCCCAAAGCAAGTGCAAGTGCCTCAAAGTCCATCTATCTGCAATTACTGGAAGGGGTAAAATGACACCGCACGCTTTTCCTCTGAGAACGAATCCTTTCCCCAGAGGTTAGAAATGGGGAACATAAAGCAAACTACAGTTGGAGATCTGAGGACTGATACTCATTTGAACTTCCGAATAATCATCTGTGCCACGCTGGCTGCTTTTGCAAAGACAACTTATTTTGAAGCCGAGTTGATTACCTTCCTTGTTGTTTTGCCAGGCAATTTAAATTAAGAGATACATCAAGACCTAACCCTGAAGTTCTGCCGCCCCACAATGCTCAGTGAGAGCAGTGGAAGCAGCTCAAGGATGGCAGAAGCAGGCCTCTATTTTGCTTGGGCTATATACTTCTTTACTTTTTGTCCTCATTCAGTTTTTCTCTTCTTTGCACCAACTTTGTATAGTAGGCACTTCAGAGGGGAGAGTATTAAGAGAGAATTTATTTCTCAGGACTGCAGAAAACGGTGTTTCTCAGGGCTACAGAAAATGGGAAGTAGTTCCAAGAATCCAATCCGGCACATTGTCACCACAGCCCTGTTTGCACACAAGTCCATTGTCAACTGAAGGAACTGGAAAATTATGGCTATTTATCCATTCCTCTCTTTACTCCCTGCTGTGCCTCTTTTGGCAAAGCAGCTGAAGAGTTTGCATTGTTTCAAATTTAATGCTTGCAGATGGTTTTTATTTAGAATTTGTTTTATTGGTGAGACATGCTTCCTCTGTTTATTAAATTGTGCCTACTTTTTGTCATCCGTCATGTTGCCCGCAATTTCTGCGCAGAGCTCGAGGGTAGGTTTGTTGTTACTGTTGCTGTTGGGTGGGTTACTTTTTTTGGGGGGGTAATCTGAAACACGATCGAGCTCGCGCATCTTCTCATTCACATTTCCCGCGGAAGAGCATGAGGCTCCCGACGGGCGGGCAGGGGCGCGGGGCGCTGCCGGGGGAACGGGCGCCCGCCCCGGGGCAACTCCGCCTGTGGCCCCGGCCGACGGGGGAGCCCCGGGAC